CTTATCTGTAAAATGGGAATAAATATGATACATACCCTATGGGGAGGTTATAAGGATTTAATGCAAAAAAGCACATAGAACACTTCACAAAATATACAGGCTATCATAAGCTTAATAACTAGTAGCTACCATTATTATCATAATTTTGGCTATAGAGTTAACCAATTGTAAGTGTATGGACATCATCAAGAATGTAGAGAGAAAAGAAGCTGCTGATTTTGCATGGGAGATCTAGGTAGGCTGCACTGAGGAGTTGACATTGAGGAGTGATCTTGAAAAATGAGCAAAATTTCAATAGAGAGGGAAGAGAAAGGTGATTTGGGGAAGAGAAATGAATTCAATACTTAACATGTTGACTTTGAGATCTTCATAGACAGCTGGTAAAATTGTTCTGGATTCATTAAAAAAATTCAGGATATAATTGGTTGATTAATATTAAACCAATAATGTTAAGAACTAAAACTACAGGAATAGATTGGAATGAAAGCATTATAGACAGAGAAGAGGCAACCGTGAAGAGAATGAAAATTTAAAGCAAGGGCAGAAAGGAGTTCTTTGAAGGCAAAGAAACAGTAAGATTTCTAGAAAGAGAGCAGGTTTAGAGAAGACTGACTTTTTCAAATAGGTATCAAAGTGGAGTCCATATCCCAGTGGAAGACAGAACAAGTCAGTGAACTTTAACCTGAGAAACAAAGAGTACAAAGTACAGCCCTGGTTCTAATTCTCCTTCTCATCCTGACTAGCTATGTGAATCTTAAATAAAATTCTTCCCCTCAATAGTCATCAGATTCCATATCTGTAAAATGAAAATAGTAGCATCTACCTACGAGATTATTGGTAGTTAAGACTGAACTAATGCATGTAAAGCCCTTAGGAAATTGTCTGGGTAAATGACACACACACATGTATGTATAAACCTGGGAAACTATAAATTGTCAGTGCAAATTTAATACTGGAGAAAATAATAAACAATCATCAAATTACTTTCAATCACTCAAGGAACCCTAGATATTGTATAATTCAAGTTGGATTTCTGAACAAACAAATAATGTCAATATCAGATCAATTTAATTTTCTTTCTTTGAACAATATTAGACCAAGTAGGTGAGAGGAAAGTAGAAAAATGAATACAGCTGAACTAGCTGGGCTTTCTCTGTCTCCATGACATTTCTATCACTAGGCTGAAGGAATAGTTTAGAGCATCACAACCCCAAAAGAGTGTTGCAAAGAAAGTTATTAAGTGTTGCATGAGCAATTAAGTTTGGGAAACACAGGGTAAAATAGGTAACTTTCCTATAGGATTCTCAAATGTTTTTAATAAGGTGATGTGAATGTCTAAGAATCAGTATAGTGTACAGCATTTTCCAAACCTATTTGGCTGTGGAATTCTTTTAAGGGTCTTAGAACACAGTTTGGGAAACAGAGGTGAGGTGATATTATCTTTACTGAAGTTTTAGTTCCTAGAAGTTCATTATTAAGTTTTCAGCAAGCGTATACAGAAAAATGTGTGTTATTCTACAGGGATCAGATTTTAAGGAGGTGTTATTGAATCCTTTAATTTATAAGCTGGAAAATGGGAATCAAGAGAATCATGCTTACGCTTGAAGTTGGAAAAGTTGCTATCTACTTGGAAGACAAATGAAATTCAAAGGAGTAGAATTCTATCAAAAATAGAATGAAGATCAATAGGGAGAAAAGAAAAATGTCTTAGAGATAAAATGCTAGCTTTGTAGAGAAATAAGGAAAAGATTTTGATACTTATATAATGGCCTTAAAAGACCAAAAAAAAAAAAAAAGAAGAAAAAAACCACACTGGGTCTCAAATAAGAAGCACAATGAATAAAAATACCACAAGAGTTAGTGCTTCTGTCTCTGCCAAGTTTATTATGATAAGAAGCACAGGGCAACATGATGGGTCTCACAGACTGGGGTGGCAATGCCTTAGAGTTCTGGGGTCTTCTACTCTTCCCTTCTGGCTCAAGATGTGGCTGTGGAGCTGCTCCAGCATTCAGGACTTCCAAAGTCTTATGATTCCCAGTAAGGTCCCAGTGAAGAGTACCTTAGAGCAATGGACTGAGTGTTTTCAAGGGAGATCTTACAATTTCCTCATTTAATGAAGGCCTCTCGGTTCTTTTTGTAAGAGTGGGTAGGAACTGACTTTCATTTTCAAAAATTATCCTGCCTGCTTGAGATTCCGTTAAATCCGGAAACTATCTGGTGTGGGTGGCATTTCTAGGCCACTGAGGAGTTGATGTTGAGGGATTGCAGCCACTCCTTTTCATTTCTTAAGTTTTGAATTCTTGTATTTGGATATGGCATATCTTAAGTGTCCCTCTTAAATAACTGACTTATAGTGTACCAATGAGAGTCGTGTGTGTGTGTGCACAGGTGTGTTTGTGCATGTGTGTGTGTGTGCATGTATATGTGTGTGTGTAAGAAAAAGCCAGTATGAAATGAGAGTCACAAAAGTACTAGAAGTTCTGTGCTTGGTTTAAATTTCCACACTGAAAAATTAGAGGACTTCCAGGGCAAACAACCAGGTAAGAGATGTGTCCATCTTATCACATGAAAAATGGAGTTGATGTTAACTGGGAGAAGAAAAGAAACAGGGGTCAATATAGTTCTTTCACTACTTGTAAAGAAAAAATGGTTGGAAATTAGGAGACACTCAATATTGGTGTGAAGAAATAAATTTTTTAACAAAACTTCAATAATGGACAAATCCGCCTTATGAAAAAAATACTAAAAATAAAATTATTTTTGAATAATTGATTATCTGAATAACTTACTTTGCATCAGTTGTTATGATAAACACATTACATGCGTTAGCTTATTCAATTCTCTCAAAATCCCTTTGAGGTAAGAACTGTTATTATTCTCCTATTACAGATGGGAAACTGAATGCTGGAGAGATTTATTTTTTTCAAAGTCACACAGCTAGTGAATGGATACACAGGTATTTGATACTGGAATCTGTGTATTAAACCAGTAAGTTGCTTACTTTCACCCATGGACATTTTAAAGCACAGTCTGATGATTTAGTTTAAGGGGTTCTTTTAACTGAAAGAATGAACCATCATTTTAAATAATCTCTAAAATCTTTAATTTCTGCCATATTGAGGATTGAAACATTGCATTGAATCTCCTCGGTCATTATGTCCACCTGTCACCTTCCTATTTTAACAGAGATGGAGAAAAGTCTAAAAATCTAGAGAAGGCTGCTAAAAACTAAAGGGTTTGGACAATGACATCAACAAGGAAAACCAAAAGGGGTTCCATTCCTTTAGCCAGGGAGTGAGCTGGTGATCTTCAATGATTATATACCCCTAATAAAAGACTAGGGGCATATAAGTCATTTCCATGGACATTAGAACAAGAAATCCATTTTAGTGAAAAAGCTTGGCTGGCACAAGCAGGCTTTCCCAATGAAAATGTCTAGAAACAAACAAGACTTTGAAGCACGGTTATGGGTCATATTAGAAATGAACCAATGCCTTCAACACCAGCCCCTCCAGCTGCCTTGCTAGCAGCCCTGAAAAGTTGGCTCGTCTGGAGAAGGAACTAGAATGTTGTAAGTGTTTGCAAACTTCACTCTCTTCCTCCCTGTCCTACTAAAGAAGCAGCAGACAAAGGAAATGAAATCTAAGCCATTTTCATCTTGGAAAACCTTTCAACTAAATTTCATGACTTTAGTGATAAGGTCCCTTAGGTAGTCAGCCACAGGGCACCACAACATATAACCTCACGAGATTCCTTCTAAATTCATGAGTCCATGGCCCTCACCAAGGAAAGCCCACAGAGCCTCCGTTAATGAAACTACCTAGAAAAATCCACATTTCTGCTCAACAGCTTCTTGTATTAATTTTAGGTGCTAAATTGTCTGTTTTTTCTTTTTGCTGACTGAATATCTTTACAAAAAGGAATTTTTTTTTCAACCTTTGGAAGGATTTCCTTTTCTTTCCTCACAGAAATTTATCATCATTTCATGCCCCCACATTCATGGCTTGTTACTTGGTCCATTACTCTTACATTCAACTTGATAAGGTCTCGGTTCCTGTCATCTTAGTTTTTAGGTTTTGGTTTCTCACAGCTGTGGCTGTGAAGTGCCTGGTAACATCCTGAGCGTTGTGCACAGCCAGCGGATGTTCACGTTCTCATTCTCCCACTGCTCACTGTTCTATTTCTGGCCCTCACTTGAATGGATATATCGTCAACTTCACCCTTTCTCTGCTTTTGAAAGAGGGCACACCTTGGGCTTTTGTAAGTGGCTAATGGGTCCATCCATAGCACTGGGTCATTTACTCGGGAAGTAGTCACTTCTCTGAGCATGTCAGAGCATGGTTTCCTATGGATGTTCAGGGACTTCAGTGGGGCACACACGTGAGTGGTGAACGACTGTACTATTTCATGTGCACACAAACATCCATTTTCTTAACGTGGTACCCACAGGCCTACAGTCATGTCTCTGCTAATAGGATCCATGCCAGGCATGGCTTCAACCACTGGTATTCAGAAAAAGCCAGTTATTTCAATGGGCAAAGTTAGGCCACAGCTAAAATTGGAGAGGAAAACTGCTTCTGGACAAAACATCTTTCAGGTGACCGAGTATGGAAAGGAGGATTGTAAACATTTAGTGGATTTCTAGAAGTTGTTTATGGTTAAAATGAAGTTAGAGTTGAGAGTTTTGAATGCTTTCATTATTTTAATTGGGAGTTAAATAGGAAGTTAAATAGGGAGGAAAAACAGCACCTCCTGTTTCATCTACTTAGAATCAATTTCCATCATTTCCCAACACATTTGATGTGACTGTTGGAAGACTGAATTTAACAGATGATCCAAGTTGTACAATGTGCGTATGAGTGGTAAAATAGAGACTGAAGCTTTAGCTGCCTTTTGAAGAGAACCAGTGGGAGGAGTAAAAGCACAAAGGCAAGTGAAATTGGGAGGAACTCTCAGTTCACCGTGCACAACATAAGGTGTGACCGAGCAAAGTTACTCACAGGTATTCGCAGTGCCTTTGGGGATGGGGAGATACGAGCCTGGACTCCAAGGTCGGCCCTGATAATTCTTCTTGCATTTCCCACAGTCTGGACCTGTAGTGTTGTGCTCACATTCACAGGCCAGTTTGCTGTTGTCAAACACACACACAGTGGCGTGGAGATTACATTTGCACCTAGGCAGAGAGAGACAAGAGTTCATCGTAAGTCAGAGTGGTCTTAGTATCAGGGAGGCTGCAGCCAGCTGTCTCCCAGGCTGGGGGCATTCACCCCACAGGGCTTGAGGGCTCCGTGGAGGCTCTTGGTAAAATGTAGATTTACTGGCTTCACCCCTGGGATTTTTTCCTTCCAGCACCCTTGGGGGTGGGAGTGGGATTGTGCTGCATCCTGCCCTCACACTATCCTTAGGAATTCTAATATCAGTTAGTCAGCTTAGTGTGGACCTGAGCTCCCCTAAGGGGCCTGTGCTCCGAAATCAAGGATTTCCCAACAGGTGTCCAAACTGTTGCCACTAGTGAGAGGTTTTTGTGGGATATCATCAAATCTATGACAATGTCGTCTGGCTCCAAAGAGTAATGTCATCTTCTGTTTTCCCTTAAACCAGAAGGACAGTTTTTATTTGTTTAGAAAGGAAGATAAACATTTAGACAATTTGCTCTTGAGACATATTTTATAGGCTCTAAATGGTGGTAATCAGGTCTTTTCATTCTGGGCTCTAAAATGGCACCTCAGGTCAGAAGAGCTTTTCCACCAAGCTGAGTAGTCCTCAGATTTCCCCCTCACAGCAAATCAGCTAATTACAAAGGTCTCTCAGAAATGGGTCAAATGACTCTGACAAAAGGTGCTCAGAATCCTAGAAAATAAAAACCTACTTGTGGCAGGGATTTCAAGTGATCAGCAAAGGCCCTGCCTCTGGTGCCCCTGAATAAAGCCACGACACAGGAGGGCAACAATGGATATGCAGTTTCCACAGAACCACATTTCCACATCCAAAGTCTTTGACTGCAAAATTGCAAAGCCCAATTTGATACTGGTTGAGGTAGCAGGTTATAAATTGTAACACACTAAGCATGAGTCACATTCTCTGGAGCAGGAAAACCTGCATGGACAGAATGACCATGACCAGGTATCAGAACAATGTGTGCAGGAAGAGGTGGGCCCACACAAGGGGGAACCAGATGCCCAGGGCACCTGTCCCAGGCAGAGCCTGAAAATGGTGTGTGTGTGTGTGTGTGTGTGTGTGTGTGTGTGTGTGTGTGTGTGTGTGTGTGTATTTTAAAACTAGTCAGGCCTTTTCCAGGAACTAGGACAAAAATAAAGAAAGCCAAGTTTCATGAAGACAAAGAAATCTTGCAGTGTTTTACATTTGTTTTCTTTTATGGCAGGTGTCATGAATTGGGAAAAGCAATACGAGTTTTTCTTAAATAGGAACATGAAGAAAATGTTTGTTTCTATAATGTTGGTAGGGCAACACTTAAGTTTCTCCCCTGTGCACTGATAATCTGTCTGGAACACTGAGCCAGACTATGGCACAGAAGCAAAGGGATGGCTGAGACTATTATGGAGAGCTGCCGGGCTCTCTTCTAACTAAAGCTGCACCCCAAAAGCAACGGCCTCCCACTCAAAACCCCCTGGGTAAAACCAAGCCTCAGATTCACAGGAGTCTACTGCTATTTGTAATCCTTGTAGCTATACTCTGCCCTCTGTAGAATTAAAAGTTGCAATAAGATGAAAGGCTACTATTTGAGCAATACTTACTCAATTTAGACACAGAAACAGAACCTTTAAAAATTAATATTTGTACAATCTTTTTAAAAGACAAGAGAAAAAGCAATTCAGTTAAGTAAAATGATAGTGCTTAGTTATGAGCTTGGTCTTATAACAATCTCCTACATGCAGGAACTTCCTTGTGCTAAGCTGCTTATTAAAGATATTTCTCCTTCCACATTAGCACCTTTATTTACGGATGTGTTTATATATATCAAAGATGTTAGAAACCTAAGTGATAGAAGCACCAGCTTATACTGATTTAGCACCCTACCTGGTGTTAAAAATTCTAACTGAAGAAATGAACAGTGTGACCCCAAAGAAGATGCTGGTTTCATGTCTGAAAACCAATAATGCAAATAGTTGTAATTATATTCTTGTTAACTGTTTATACTTATCGTCTTACAGGTGATTTCCATTTGAAAGACTTTGTATTTGCTGAGAAAATATTCCTTGAATAACAAAGGAGGTGAAAGAAGAATAGATGAATGTTGAATGTTATTTATTTTTCTTAGATTTCTTCCAATGTATGACTCCTCTTCAGCTGTCCAAAACTTATTAATTACTCAAGACTCAATTCATAATTGTTCCCTGATCCCCTTCCTGCCCACTATAGATGTCCTTCTCTCTGCTCTCTTAATTTCCTTACGTCCTTCTCTGTTTTATGTTTCACTGGTTGTTACTTAAGGATCTTTGTGCTTTTAAAATGTTTACTCACTGCATACATATCTCCCACCCTACAGGAGGAAAATATCTACCTTACGCCCTTATCTTCTTTTCCAGCTACCTCCTTAACACCTGCTTCTCCCTTTTTGAGTTTCCTGCACTTACCTTCTCCGTTTTCTCATCTCCCACTCACTCTTCCTTTCCAACTAACCACAGCCTCTCTTGCCAAGATCACCCATGACCTCCTTGCTGAAAATCCAATGGATCCTCTTCCTTGCTTTATTTGATCCCTCGGGGCATCTGATTCTATGGGCTGCTCCCTTTCCCCTGATAATCTGTCCCTGCTGATTCCCAGACTCATTTTTAGAACCTCTTCTGTGTGCTGTTCTCATGCACTGTCCCTGGGCTTCTGGCTCAGCACAAACTCCAGTCAGCCTCATTGACTGTCCTTGGACATTCTTATCCAGGCATCCCTTCAATTTCCTCTGTGGTCCTTAACTGCCTTTGAGTTGTAGTCATTTTAAAACAAACCTGAATCATTTTTTTCCCCTGAAATAAATAAACATCTGTGAAATAAGCTCAAACATTTGAAAACATTTTAGGAGACTGAGAAGTTCTCTGTTACCCCTGGGAGCCATGGAACGCCATCCCTGTTTCCTCACCAGTTAAAGGTCATCTAATGAACATGTTGCTAAGTCTCGATCTACATCCGCACCGTGGATCTCTCTCCTGGGCATGTCAAACTCAGCATCTCCAAAACTAAGCTGTTTGGCTGCCCTTGCTCACCTACTCATCCTGTGCTTTCTGCTTTATTACATTGCATCACCTTCCTGTCACTTGCTTAAAAATGACTCTCCCCACTTCCTGTCACATACAGTTGGTCATTACTCAGTCCCTCACCAAGTTCTGAGATTCCTCCTCACTCTCAATACACACACTTCCAGCCATCGCCACTTCTCCAGTTGAGATCATCATCATCTCTGATCTGGTTTATTACCCTGGCTTCTAAACAGATCTTCCTAACTCCAGTTGTGTTCCTCCCTTGCCGGATCTCAACACAATAGTCAAAACAGTTATTTATGCAAAAATATTTGGGTTGCCCTGGCTTAGAACTATTGAAAAATTTCTCATTATTCCTGGAATAGAGTCCAATATCTATAACACGGCCTACAAGTCCCTTTGAAATCTCTCTCTTCTCCCTTCTCCAGTCTCATCTGCACCAGTGCCAACTCTATACTTAGTTTTTTAAGCTTTGCTTCAAGTAATTTTATAAACTGTTCTTCTTGCCTAGAACATTCTACTCTCTTACCTCTACTTTTTTATCTGCATAATTCTTACCATTCAGATATCAACTGGAAATCTCAGTATCTGGCTCCTAGCTGACTTTCAAAAAACATCTCTGATCAACTATCTGAATGCATCTCTGACCCACCATAACCTGCCTTTCCTGTGTGCTCCTTGGACACTGGGCAGGGCCAGTCACATGATAAGCCCATACTCTCTGATAAGCCCATACTCTCTCTGCTATAGATGCTGGTTGCATTATAACTGGATATTCTTCCATCATTTCACTGGAGTGTAAGTTCCTGGGAGCAGCAGTTATGTCTGCCTTTTTTAATGTAACATCCTAGTATATGTCAAGGTGCTTGGCACATAAGTACTTGAAAAAATATTTGATGAATAAACAAACAACTAATAAACAAGCAACTCTCTGAAAGCAGGAATGTCATGTGCTTATTCTGCTCTGTCTAGCATAGCAATGGACTAAAAATAGAGAATTAATAGGCATGGCACTAAAACAAACACTCTGTGATGTGTGCTAAAAACTGTCACATGTCCTCATCATTGTTTTCCATAACTAACCTTAAAATGGGTAGAGGGAACTCTACAAAATTGGTGAGGTTTTTCAAAGCAATTTAATTTAATTTAAATTCTAGAGGATTTGCCAAATGCCTGAAACCAAACACAAGAGCTATCCTAAAATAATGCCTGAAAGACTCAGGAGAAGAACACAGCTTAGAGCACGGAAAAACCATGCCACTTGAGTTGTATAATTATTCTGGAATGTACATTTCTTAGCTTCCACTTCTCATGCAAGGATGAGCACCCTGGTTCAGTTGAAGTTAGGCAGAGTGTTGCTTGGCCTGGCTAACGCTCTGACTTCTCCAGCAGTGAATCTGCTGACCTAGCCCAGCTTCTGGGCTTTCTTCCTCCTTCAGTCACTGTGACAATTGCTGTGCCAGGGCTGAGAATGCGAAAGTGGACACTGAGGCACCAGGACATTGGCTGGTGTTTGGAAATGGCTCCTTTTCCTTTTCCTTTTCATAGCTCTGTTCATTCTCATCACCCCATCCCAATCAGATGCTAAAATCCTTTATTTAGAGCCTCTGCCAGAGTGGCTTTTCCTCCAATGGAAAAAAATGGATTTCACAATGCTGGGAGATTGCCCTCAATTCCTGGTACTATGACCTCCAGCCTTGTGCTTGGGTGGAGGGCAGATTTGTGACATTCTCTTGTTTCTGGCAGATTATCCATTTCCATGGCTACCCAGCCCCCATGTCCACCATCACACCAGGCATGAGAGGAGCTGTGCAAGTGGAGGCCTAACAGGCTCTGCCAGCAGTGACGCCTGATGTTCTGGAAAGCTCAGCCTATTCACTGGTTCTGTTTACACATGTAGAACTCACAGCAAGACACTGCATAGAACTAATTGACTGGCTTGTACCTCGAAGATTCACTTGCG